GTAGAATATAAAAGTTGTATTGCAGTTGCATGTTATCCGCATTTAACTATCAATTTGATGGCAAAGACAGACGAAAAATTGGAGTTGAACATGTGAAACCTTGTGCGGAAGGAGATAATAAAGCTACTTACACGTTTTGCATGATATATTTTGAGTAGATTCTAAAGGGTTCTGGCAATGCTGTATGATATTCTGGATTTTCTTCTCGTGGGGCGAGGGTGAGTCCGCTTGGTACTGCGGCCACTAATTGGCCTATTGTACCAGACCTGGGTGATATATGATGATGATTGTGGAGCAAGCATTCGAATGCGAATTGACAGGGGAAACCGAAGTACTCGGAGAAAACCTGCCCCGGTGCCACTTGGCCCACCACAAATCCCACATGATGACCTGACCCGGGTTCGAACCTCAGCCGCGGCGGTGGGAACCCAGCGACTAACTGCCTGAGCTATAGCGCGGCATGACATTCAGGATTACAGGGATTCTGGACTTTAACCCTCGTCCGGTAAACCAAAGAACACTAAGGAACACAATATTTCGAAAATTGGATCTGATTCTATCCTCATATGAGGGGGTGGGAAACGCGGAGTCCATTAGAAAGAGGCAACCTAAATCACTGGATGTCTAGGATTTCAGCCTTTTCTAACGGAATAAATAGGGCGAATTTATTGCAGTAGGAACTTTTAATTTTTACTCGTATTTTGTGCCTGCCTTGCCACATAGATTAAATATTTGAAGGAAAATAAGAGCAATAAGTTCTCTCCTCAATGGGTTTAACTTTTATAAAGGTACAATTGTTGCTGTAAGTCACAGTTGTGTTGAATGCTTGCCGCTGTTTGAAATACACGAAGTTCCGGTACTCTCATGTACCTACTTCTTTTCCCACTGAATGTTCGTCATTGAGGACTTATAATTTATTTGTTTCTTTACTGTTTGGCAATATCGGGTTTCCTTCAGTGATGTAGTAACACAGCAAAACATAGCTGCTTCTCGGGGTTCGTTTTACGACGCTATAAATGTCTTCAAATACTTGGCGTCGGATGGGGGGGAAGGACTGTAAATAATGACTTGGAAGGAAAGGGAAGAAGTCAGATATGACTCAACTAATATAAATCCCAGCATTTGTTCGAAGTGACTGAGAAAAAACCCTAAAAATTTTTAATCAGGATAACCCGTGTCTCGGTCGAGATTCGAAGCTACCGCCGTTCGCAAACAGGTGCACTAGCCAACCCTTCAGACACAGCTGTATTTTTTTTCCTTGGCGCTACAGCCCCAGTGGGCCTAGGCCTACCTAAATGAACTTCTCCGTTCACTTCGATTTTTCTAGATCTTACACATACGGTAGGACTCCTTGGGCGGGTGATCAGCTGGTCGCAAGGCAGCTGTATTTCACTTACGGCAATAAGAGTATTTCACCAAATTAACCTTAGCCCTTTAATACATGTCGATATTTTCACGTGTATGAGTGACTGTAGCCGGGCTTAGATAGGTGATTAGATTCATTGAACACTTATAGATCGTAACTACAAGTAACTATAGCGTTATCACTGATTCACACACTCTGCAGTTCACTGCAGCACATAGCAAATCTTCTCAGTCTGCTCTGTGTACGACAGTCGTTGCCTGGTGACAGATCCTCTGATTCCGTGCTCACGTTCTTACTGGCTGGCGACTGTCTCACAAACTACTCATTGCTGCAACTAACTCCCAGGCTGGCGGCCACCTCACATCAACCTCCTGCTCTTCTCACTGCTATCTCAAGACTCTCTCGTAATCGCAGCTGCTCTTCGTTATGTAGCCTCGGCGCGGAACGCATAGAAAACACCGCTTCCAACAGTTCTTTTATTGTCGCGTCCATCTGTTGCAGCCATTACCTAACAACGGTTGTGGTATAACTGCTTATTTCGCGGTCGTTGGCTAGCAACGGGTCTACATGCCACAATATTAACTTTCCTAATTTATAAAAATCGCCCTATACCAGAACCTAGCAAAGCGCTGAGCTGGCCTGAAATGGCGGTAGAAATCTGACATTCTGAAGAACGCAACTGGGAAATAGGTACAGTCCGTCTAGTATGAAAACTGAAACATAGATGTGCATAATTTTCAATCTATTTACATGGAAAATTGCTTTCCTTAGACGAATTGTAAGACACAAACTGACACCACAGCGAATTACACGCCCAATTTGGCATCCCAGTAATCTTTTTGGGACACCGTTCTCCACCAACGAGAAGCCATTTTGTACTCGCCGTGGAAGTGCCTAGACGTAGGAAGCAGAAATTACGCCACGCTTGATAATTCTAAATTTTACCACCAGTGTACTGCGCTTTGTTGGGCTGTGAACTAGGCTTCCGAACAATCACAAGCTTGGGGCTCCTTCAGAGGTGCGCTACCTGCCGGGCGTTGAGTGAGTGAGATCTTTATTAATTCATATGCTGTTACGTCGTGACGTGGCTATTAGGCATGTAGTAGCGGCAACGAGCCATGATGTAATGTTTGTCGGCGGTTACTGAAGATTCATTGGTTGACGACTGACATGTACATCCAAGTTCCTGTGTCAAGGTTCTCCATTCATACAAAACGGAATATTGTTCAAGTAAAAGTTGAGAAGAGAAGGAACCAGGAACACGAATATTGATCAAGGAGTCCTGACGAAGAATTTAATGAATTTGTTTGAAAAGAACGTAGCTCCATATTTTCATGAAGTTGTGAGTGATATATTACAAAATTTTGGCCTACACGTATTTATGTTTTATGTGAATTTGTCTCAATAAATTTAAGTTCGATTTTACTCGTATTTAGAACATCCTGTGCCATTATCACCAACACAACTATCACGAAAAATGCATACAGAATTTTAGCCAGAACTCTAAATGGAAGAAGACCGTATGTTAGATCTAGATGTGGATGGGCTATTATATTAAAATGGGTCTTAAGGAAGTAGGATGTGAGGACGTGGACTGGGTTCATTCAACCGAGCACTGTGTCCAATGACATTCTCTTCAGGTTCCACAAAAGGCGGAGAATTTCTTGGCCAGTGACTATTAGTTCCCTAATGAGGAATGCTTAATAAAATCTTAATATAGTAACTTATAGTTAGACATAAACCCAGGAGAACCTGCTTAAACGTGAGTCCTGACATTTGGTATTTTCAATTTGAAAACTTCGAAATTTAACCTTGAAGCAAAGTATGTAGACCTACCCAGTAATACACGAGGAAAATGTACGAGTAAATTTATTGTGAATCACCTCATAAGTGAAGAGAGTTGTTAGTAGTTAATATATAGAAACACACGAGTACCGCCATATTGCAGAATAATGAGCTACTTGCTTAAAATGCACGGGTATCTTTCCATTTCCTTCGACTTTAATACTCAGTTAAAGCAGCGTTGTTAATAACCTAAGAATCAATCATTCAATCAATTAGTCAATATCATTTCAGTAAGGCTGATGCAAATGTTCCCCCCAAGGGAACTATTATTCGCTCTGCAATGTTTATTGTCATGTGATTTAGTGACTATTAGATGAGGTTTGGATTGGTAATTGGATTTATTGACCACTTATTCACACAGTTCATAACTACACGTAACTATAACACTATCGCTAATTTCCGCACTCTAGAAATCACTACAGCACACGGTAAGTCTTCTCAGTCTGATTTCACTAGTCGTTTCCCGGTAACGGACCTTCACAATGGAAATTCTTCAACACTTCGTTACTGTCCGGTGAATATCCCACAAATACAACTAAATTCTAAATTTGTCTCAGTAGTAACACCTTGGCACGGACCGCATAGAAAACAGTTTCAAACAGTTCCTTTATTGTTTTGCGTTGTCTCTTTGCCGTGGGAACATGTTTGTTTCACTGTTGTTACTTATTAACGGGTCTACGCGCTACAATATACGAGTATGCTTCAATTCGTTACGTAAGATGACACAGATATTTGGTATTAATATATGTTTAGTCTGAGCAGCAGGACTGTGGTATATTCAAACAGTCCTGTCAGAGTCAATGTTCACCCATGTTATGTTAGCGCGACCATGAACTCTGCGTTGCTTCTTGTAACATACACCTACACATCAAGAGAATCAATTTACATTTACACGAAACAAGTAACTGTGTACTCCCTTATCAAATCATTCAACCCTTTCGACAACAGATCGATGACTGAGCAATTTTTGGTCAGCGATCAGCGCTTATAGTTTGTACAGGTTAATGTTTTACAAGGATTTTTGAGAGAGAGAAAATAAAATATTGCGACGTTAAAGACACAGTATTTATGTGTTGCCAGTGCTTAACAAGCAGTCACCAACAACACACTTTACTGACAGAGTGACTGGGAAACTGAATATGATTTAGTGATTGGCGTGATTCAACAGTATATCCACATCCAGAAAGCAAAGAAAGAAAACAAAGAAAGAGGCAGATGTAAAGAGAAAAAGGATAGAAAGAGTGGGTGGGAGAGGGAAAGTGAAAGAGAAGCAAAGAAAGGGGGGAGAAGGACGAAAGAGAAAGACAAATGGAAAAGTAAGCAAAGGAACAGAGAGAGCGAGAGAAATGTGGAACTGTTAGAGTACATCTTTTCGTTGTTCTACAATCAGAGTAAGTGTTCTTCTTCTTCTTAGCTTCGACGAAGGTGCAAAACAGGAATAATATGCATCATTTCTTTTCATTTGGGAGAAATTATAATTTTCGCAGACTGTTTCTTACGTAAGTAGTGACCGTGCATTTTTAATCTCTTACATTACTCAGAAAATATCGCTGAACTAAAGCAGCTAAATAAAAGTCGAGAAATTGCTGTTGCGTATTGGCATGTAGGTACTGCACACTATTAGTGGAAGAATCAGCCAGAATACGTATTGTCCAGCGTGACATCACTTCGGCGCCAGGCGGCGGTTGGTTGATGCACGCCCCGGCTCACAGATGTCTCTGGGCGCGTGCGCATGAACTGCTGTAGTCAGCAATTGGACAAGCAGTCTCTCAGTCACCTACGGTAACTACTTGCGTGTGTGTGTGAAAAGCAAGCGAGCGCGGTAAAGTTGGAAGGTCAAAGTGGCCAAAAACGAGGAGGGCAAGATGGTGGCGGCGACTGAACCCGGTCTGCCGGCCAGCCTGGCACAATTAATTTCCACCGTATCGGGAGTGAATTTTGACTCTTGCGTTTGGAAATTTTTATAAACCCATTTTTTAATAATTTGTATAATGTATATTGCCTAAAATCTACTTCCTCAAAACTAACAGCACGTTTTCGGTGTATATTAGTGTATTGACAGATTTTATTAATTAAATGCTTGGTTTAAATTAGCTGTACATAAGCAACGAATTATTTGCGAGGTAGCGGATGTTTTCAGCCACGTGTGATTTGGCGGGCTTAGCCATTGACGATTGTATTTGGCATGGACTGTAGAACCATGTGTGTCTAGCATTTTTCGTGTGAGTTTCAAAGTGTTTAATAATTCGTACACACCTACGTATTCTGATAATATTCAGAGTGCCGAATATTATAACATTTCCTTAAATAAATTTTCAGTATTATCTGTACTCTTATTAGCGACGTAGTCTTCATGCGATAGGAAACAAGTGTAATGTAAATGGAGGTGTGCATTTTGTAACTGATGCCCCATTCAACATGTGGAATGAATTATGCGTTCTTTCACTGAGAGTTTAGCTTTAATATCATTTCTTTCGCTCTCGAGACGATAAACAGTGTCTGACCAAGGCAACTGTGATGAAGAAAGATCATTAGCCTACGTGGTTACAATAATGGATTCGATTTCCTTGTGTTTTTTGTGATGTGCTGAAGATGGGATCCTGGAGTGTATTTTATAAGGCCAATTACATCAGGCTTTTTGTTCATTGTTACTACACATAATCGTGCTGTGCTATCAGGTGAAGAGGGAAGAATTATAAAACTGTGAGGCATGATTAGCCAGTATTATTTGAATGACATGTGGTGAAGTTCGTGCTTGTGACTGTCCCCGCCTGACCACTTGTTGCGTCGCGACGCGGTTTCCAACGTCGTCAGGGCTGAGCGGAACAATTAAACTGGTGTGTACGCATCATAGAACTGTCTGCTCTTTCTGGTCCCGCAAAGTCACTGGATTCCACCTCCTACTTCTTGTACCCCCCCTCGTTCCTTCCACTGTGGGCCTTGGTCAAGGACTTCACCGAGAAAACAGAAGAAACAAGAAGAAAACTAATACTAGAAGAAGGAAATCAAAACATGAGGCGCGATATCAGCTGGGCCCTGAGGTAAGTACTGCAATGCACGTTTTATACACATTGAACCACATTTTGTAAGGAAATGTTTTGTTAATATAGTTGCATTTTAAATGAATTCATTCAGTGCTGGGTGTATGCAAAGCCTGTGGATGGCACAGAGTGCATTGATTCGACGAACTACACGTATATTGATACCACATTTAGAAAGATATGTAGGCCTATATTCAAAATTGCCTTGATAGGCACTGAAGTACAGTATGAAATTAGCATTTAAGGACATCTGATTTACTTGATTTTACTGCTCAAATGCTATTATATGCCCCACATGTTTCGGTTGTAAGACTACCATCTTCGAAAATGGGGCTATTAAAGAAAGTTTTGTATATACGTAAAGTTGCCCCTGTGCTTAACTAATTAAGCACTACGCCATGAAGGCGTATGGGGGAGCGGACATACAGGTCCACATTTTGACTTCCGCACTAGTTGGAGGTGATCGGTCAGCTTCACGACCATGCCGCTTTACCCCCGGGGAAAGAACTACGTGGAGAAGAGAAAATTCTTGACCCAACNATTAAAATTCCTCGTTATGACCAGCCGTTGAAAGCGGTCTCGTCAGTAATTCCCGTATCATATTGTATTGTGTTGTTCGCGTCGCTTCATGTGACCCATTTTACGGTGCTGCTACGGTGAAATCATGTGACATCGTTGTTTTCGTTCCTTCGAGGAACCAGTACGTCAGTAAAAGGAAATAAATTAAATACTCGTATACTCGTACGTACATCGCATTTTCATATTTTATTCAAGTCTACAAAATATATTGGGAAAACTGTAGGACGTTCCGTATTTGGATTTTGTGGATTGGTACGTTATATAGGCCCTATTTGATGACTGAAGTTTTATGTTATTAAGACACGTCTGCAACAACTTTATTAATTTGTATAGGTTATCAAGATTTTCTAGAAAATTGTATTCTGAGGCCCATTATATCCACAGCATGAATCTAATGTAGCCTGTTGCATTGTAAGCAGTTATGTATAATGTAAGTTTAGATTGACCATAAGCATGTTACGTTTACACAAGAAATATATATATACAGACACACACACACAAATCTTTATTTTCTATACAAATACGATGAGCAAGAATGATTTCAGAAATTTTGAGAATTTGTTGTAAAGCAATCAGACAAGATTATGCTGCAACTGCCGTAGCTTACTTTAGCACTTGTGCTGTACTGCGAACTCTGTACACACAAAGTTCATGTTCCAGTTCCATTCGGACACTCTGCTTCAACGAGAAAATTCCTTTTGTCTCACGGAACGGTTTTTAAAATTCGTAAGTTGTTCGTTTAGAAGTTGCATCCAGTCTAAACTCCGTTCCATGCTCTCTCGCCTCTCGTTAAACTACAGGACATACCTCGCGGCACGCGGTAGCGTAATTGGTTGAGGGGCTATGCTACAAACCGGAAGGTCACGGGTTCGAATCCCGATGAGATCATTGGATTCTTTTCAGTTGGCCTAATCCTTCCAGCCGCACTATTATCCTGGGATCGACTCAGCCTCTAACAGAAATGAGTACCAGGAATCTTTTTGGGGGGTAAGGGGCTGCGGACGCATAAGGCTCACAACGTTACCGCCATCTTTGAGCAAATTGTCTGTAAAATGTGGGAACCTCAACATCTCACAACCCTATTGGCTTTCACGGCCTGTTACAGGAATGACATTTACCTTCTTGTCTTTACCTTTTACACGACTTACTTCGCTTTTTACAGAGGCAAGCTTTCATTCCGACTTTCGACGCACATAAATTAATATATGAAAGCTCTGGTGTGTGATCTAATCCGAATTTTCTACAATAAATTTCAGAAATTGTAGAGACCGTTTGTACTTTGTATATACTTTAATCTCTCTCTAGTGAGTTCATTGTGCTGGAAGGGTACAGTTCACTGGGAACTGATGGAGGAGACAAAAGGCATACATAATTTTGTTTCGAAAACCTCCTAGAAAACGAGAGCTTGGAAGACCTCGAAGAGGTAGGAGAATTACACTGAGGTGGAAGCAGGCTGGGAAAGTTGGCGTTGAATGAAACAACTCAGGGTCGTGTCCAGTGGCGGGCTTTGGTATTACGATGTTGAGCTTCAGTTTTCCTCTGCCAGAGAATTATGAAACTGGAATTTTAAATCCGTGTTTTGGGACCTCTGAGGTACAGTCAATCAGCATATTGATATTGGTCAATGATGACCTAGTCTCTATACATCCTTAAGCGCCATCATACTTGAGTGCAGAACACTTCCGGATATGCACTTTGTAGCAGAAATATCTCCCATTGGACCGGAGTTTCTGAATTTTTCTTTTCAGTTGACAAACCTCTTAATCTCAGAATTAAACTTCACGATCTTCTCTCAATAGCTACTTACAGAGGTTGGACAAAATAACGAAAACACTACAGATACTGTACACACTTCTTTATTAACTTGGTGTTGGACCACATTTTGCCTTCAATAAGGCCGCAGTCCTTGGAATGGACTCGTACATATTTTGAACACTCTGTGGCGTAATTTTATACTGTAACGGATTTGATCAACGCGTTGCCAGGCAGTAGCTTGTAAACACAAATACAGGCAACAATAGAAGGGAAAATATGTTTTCTATGCTGTCCGCGCCGAGCGAAACACGGAGATATAGGAAGTGTGTTGCCAGGCAACGCAGCGGTAAACATGCATCCACAACAATGGGAGACTGTGTTTTCCATGGGCTCCGTGCAAAAGAGTTATCTTAAAAACAAACGGCATTGCGATTGAGTTCTGAGTTCTCAGAGGAAGATAGCCACGGAAGTTTCGTAAAAGACAAGAAGACTTAATAGTGATTTGAAGTGATTATTTCTGTGTTGAGATCCGTTGCTACGAGACGACTAGTGGAAGCAGAGAATCCTAGTGCGTGTGTAACGGTGAACTGTAAATCTTGGTAACAGCGATAGCGCTGTATTTAAATGTGATTAAGAGAGATTATAACCGAAGTGCTAACAAACCAAATCATCTGAACTAGAACCCGTCATTTTTGTCGCGCGTATTACCACGGAAGTTTCGTAAAAGACAAGAAGACTTAATAGTGATTTGAAGTGATTATTTCTGTGTTGAGATCCGTTGCTACGAGACGACTAGTGGAAGCAGAGAATCCTAGTGCGTGTGTAACGGTGAACTGTAAATCTTGGTAACAGCGATAGCGCTGTATTTAAATGTGATTAAGAGAGATTATAACCGAAGTGCTAACAAACCAAATCATCTGAACTAGAACCCGTCATTTTTGTCGCGCGTATTACCCTACACGTAACAATACCATTCTTGAAGAATTTTGCTTCAGAGATGTTAGAGGTGGAAATCTGTTCCCCACTCTAGTCTCGAAAAGTGACCAGAGTTGTTCAGTGATGTTCAAATGTGGTGATTGTGCTGGCCAGGGAAGATGTTGAACATCATCTTCATGTTTTTCAAACTATGAGAGAACAGTTACTATAGGATTCTGACGGATGGTGTATAACACACAGAGATACTGGGTTTTCGGATTTTATCCATCGTCCCGGTTTTTAAGATAACTAAGAAAAACACGACGTTTCGGAAACTGGATCTGTTTCCGTCCTCAGGTGAGGGAAAACAGATCCAGTTTCCGAAACGTCGTGTTCTTCTTAGTTATCTTAAAAACTGGGACGATGGATAAAGTCCGAAAACCCAATATCTCTGTGTATGACAGAACAGTTCTAGCTGTGTGACTGGGGGCACTGTCGTCTTGGGAAACTGCATCGTTGTTCGGAAATAATGTCTGGATCATGGGAACCACTTGATTACCCAACCTGTTCACCTGGTCTCTAGCAGTAATTCGGCCATGAAGAGTAATAATGGGATCAACAGACTACTGTACCACGATATTGATACCCAAACCATCACAGAACCTACCCATGGTTCACTGTTGAAACCAGGCGTTGCGGAGTGTATGTTTCCTTGTGTATTCTCCAAACGTAAACTCTCCCTGACGTAGGAAGCAGCGTGAAGGACGACTCATCTGACCATATCACGCCCGAGTTTCCTGTTATCTCTTGTCCATGTTTTATGGTCGTGACACAACCGTTTACGCATCTGAGCATTACTTTCAATAACCAGAGGTTCAGCAATTGCAGCCCTACCGTGGATGTTGGATTTGTGAAGCTCAGTCCGACAGTTTTTGTGGAAATAGGGTCCTCGAGGTGAATATTCAATTCTGCTGTCACCTGTGCTGCAGTAATAATGCGATTTTTATCGAAAAAATCCTTCTCAGTGTATGACGATCTCTTTCTGTCAGTGTTGATTTTCGCCCACGCTTCCCCTTCTCTGATGTTGTCTTCCCATGATTCGTGGATGCCGACATAACCTTACAAACTGCGGCTCTCTACACCCAATAGTGTGGCAGTTTCTATCGAGATGCTCCAGCTAAACGAGCACCAATGATCTATCTTCTTTCAAAATCTGACAAGTCTCCCATTTTCCGATTCTCTTAGGATGGTTTCAAGTCCTTTAGACACGTGTTTGACATTGTTGGTACATATTTTACGTAACCGATTGTGAGGCTTCACGTGTTTCCATTTCAAACTGCTATACTAGATCCATGCATAAGCCTACATTTAAACAAGGCTGAAACTCATTTCATAGCTCGACAGACCAGTACGTTCCAAGGCCTCTCATCGCCCTCTTCCATAAACATGTTTATGGACAAATTGTCAGGACTCCATGGACAGGGGATCGGCCTCTCGCAACGATTCTGCTTACACAGGACAACAGAAACAAAGAAAACCCCAGATATATATGCCCCATTTGAGATTCGAACCCATGATCTCAGTGTTCGAGCGGCAGGAGACAGTGTACGCCTTGAACAGTGCTGCCGCTGTTACCGGCAGGCTGAACATTGTTCATAGAATGAAACTTACTGAACGGGCCTTCTTTTCTGCAATATCGCGACTTAAATGCTCATCATTCAATCGTACATTTATTGCATAGCTAACACGTA